TAATATAAGTATTATAATTAAATTAATAAATAGGTGTATTTACAACTGGAAGGATAGTACATTTTGTAAGACTCTTATATTATGTTAACCTGGTTCATTCTCTGGCTCTTCATACAGTTCCAATAATCAAAAAAACCTGCATGAGTTATTCCCGAGCACAAAACCAGAAATAAACTCTGAGCACCACTGAGTGTCTCCAAAATTAGCCAAACAAATCAAAGATGTGTATTTTTTAGTTTTTTCTCTTGATAGCAAATGTGAAAAAATAAGTTATATAAAATTATAAAAATAAATTAATCATAATTAAATGATTTATACAAACAAAAGTTTCTTAATTTTTAATAAACATCATAAGAAAAATACTAGTTCTCTGATATGTGTTAAAAAATGTATTAGTTTTTCTACTGCTATCTGGGAGATTTTAAGAAAGTGTGTTTCAAAAAATAGCAAAATAGACCTTTTTAAAGATAGAAATTTTAATATCAAGAACATGGATATGGACATGAATGGAAAAAGATATCCAGATAATTAACAATTATTTTATCAGAATAAAAAAAATTGCAAACAGATTAGAGAATGATATTTTTGAGAAAGAAGAAGGAGTATAGCTGAATTTGGAAGGGAGATGAAGTTTAAGTTTAAGAAAGTTAACAAAAGAAGTAAAAGATTATTTTTATTTTATCATAATTTAGTATTTAATTTACCTTTGCATCCTGTTCTGGACACTAGCACTGTCTAGCACTGTCCTCCCATTGTTCATCTATTTGCTCGAGCGGGTACCAGTAATGTCTCCATTGTGAGATTTGTTGCTACTGTGTTTGGCATATTGAATATGTCACGGGAAGCTTGTCAGGCTCTGCCGTGTGGGCGGAATACTCTCAGTAGCTTGTTGGGCCAGGCTTTCCAAGAGTGACGGAGGTATTGAACTCGGGTCAGCCACGAGGAGGTAAACGCCCTACCTGCTGTGCTATTGCTCCAGCCCAATTTACCTTTAAATTCATTTAAAAAGAGTTCACTGTATTAGTTTGTTAAGCTTGCAAAGAATAAGGATGACTAGAAGCATCATCTCCTGAACCCAAATAATATAATACTGCAATTCTCCATTGAAGAAATAAATTTTCAGGACAGTAAATTTATGGGCAACAAGTTGCTTACACTTTTCTTTACAGCCTAGAAGGGTTTTTTGTTTTGTTTTTTTATTGTTTTTATTAGTGAAACACCATGAGGTACAGTTATAGACTTATAAATTTTTGTTCTTGGGTTTAAGTTATACAATGATCAAGTACCCATCCCTCCACCAGTGCCCATCATCCACCACCACGAGTCCCAGCATCCCCCCACTCCCCATCCCCCCGTCCCACCCTGCCTCTGTGGCAGGGCATTCCCCCTTGTTCTCTCTCTCTTCTTTTGGGTACTGTGTTTTGCAACAGAGGCATTGAGTGGCAATCATGTTTGGTCTATAGACTACTTTTAGCGTGCTTCTTCCACCCTGGGAGGGTCCTCACAACACCCTTTATTTGGTGCTCTCTTCTCTATCTGAGCTTCCTTTTCACCTAGCACGTGTGGCTGGCCTTCAAGTCATGGAGCAAAATTCCTGGTACTAATCTCAGCCATTCCTGGGTGTTCGTCTCCCTTTTTGTTGCTTTATGTTACCCAGATGAATGCAATCTTTCTGTGTCTATCCTGCTCTTTTTGACTCATTTCACTTAACATGATACTTTCCATGTAGTACCACTTGTATGTAAATTTCATAACTGCATCTTTTCTAACAGCTACATAGTACTCCATTGTGTAAATGTACCAAAGTTTCTTTAACCAGTCATCTGTTCTTGGGCACTCAGGTTTTTTTCCAGATTCTGGCTATTGTACAGATTGCTGCAATGAACAAACAATTGCAGATATCACTTCGACTATACATTTTTTGCCTCTCTGGGATAGTTTCCCAGGAGTGCTATAGCTGGGTCAAATAGGAGATCAAATTCTAATTTTTTGAGAATCGTCCATACTGTTTTCCAAAAGGGTTGGACCAGCCGGCATTCCCACCAGCAGTGAAGGAGGGTCTCTTTCTCGCCACATCCGAGCCAGCATTGGTTGCTTTTGTTCTTGTGGATGTGGGCCAGTCTCTGTGGTGTGAAATTATATCTCATTGTTGTTTTGATCTGCATCTCTCTGATGATTAGTGATGTAGAGCATTTTCTCATGTGCCTTTTTGCCATTCGGATTTCTTCTTTGCGGAAGTTTCTGTTCATTTCCTCGCCCCATTTTTTGATGGGGTTGGGTGATTTCTTCTTGTGGAGTTCAACTAGTACCTTGTATATCCTTGATATCAACCCCTTGTCAGATGTGTATTTGGTGAATATTCTTTCCCATTCTGTAGGCTGTCTTTGTATTTTGGTCACTGTTTCTTTTGAGGTGCAGAAGCTTCTTAATTTAAGATAGTCCCATTTGTCTATCTCTGTTATCACTTGCTCGGCCAGTGGCGTGACATCTTTGAAGATACCATTAGCTTCAATATCATGGAGAGTTTTGCCAACTTTGTCTTCAGTAAACATTATGGATTCCGATCTGATGTTGAGGTCATAAATCCATTTCGATCTTACTTTTGTGCATGGCGTTAGGCAGAGTTCTGAGCCCACTTTTTTGCATGTAGCCGCCCAGTTTTGCCAGCACAGTTTATTAAAGAGACTTTCCCTGCTCCATTTCACTTTTCTTGCCCCCTTATCAAAATTAGATGATTATATGTTTGGGAGGAAATGTCGGTATATTCAACTCTGTTCCATTGGTCTGCAGCTCTGCCTTTGTTCCAGTACCATGCTGTTTTAATTATTACTGCCTTGTAGCAGAGTTTGAAGTTAGGGAGGTTGATTTCCCCCATTTTCTTTTTCCCAAGAATTGCTTTAGCTATTCGTGGGGGCTTATTGTCTAGAAGTTTTAATCTTCAGTTTCCAACCGAAAGAAAAAGTCAATTATAAATGCATAAGAGCAAAAATACTGTCCTCTATTTCATATTGTTTATAGCTGCAAGTCACTGGAACCTGCTGTCACACTAAGACAATATTAAGAAGTAGTAGTCAAAATGCTTTTAATTAATAATTTTCAGTCCTTTAATAAATATCTATAGATTAATTATATTAAAATCACTTCAAAATAATGGTATGTGCAAAAGTAGCATGTACTGTAAAAATTAAACATTTCTGAGATAAAAAAGTTAAATTTGCATGAAAACTGTGTTTTCTTTTATAATATATTGTGAAAAGTATTAAATAAATGCTTATTTAAATTTATCAAATCCTTGGCATATGCTATTAATAAACACAGAGGTACAGTAACAGAGGATCTAGCCAAAGAAGAAAGTGAAGCTGAATTTTCATTGATGTTCTGTCATAGAAAGTTTAGCCCACTAGTAACAGAGTATATAACAAAAGATTAAAGTGATGCTGAGTCTCCATTGATATATTTTCTGTCATAGGAAGTTTGGGCCATTGTTTTGCCAATACCTCATGTGGGAAAATAAATACCTCCTAGACAAATAAAATTTTTCTGTAGGCCAAGGTAATTTAGTGTCTGCTCTGGCAGATGACATATGCAATTTTTCATCCTCTCTGAGACCACCTGAACAGCTGTCCATGTGTCCTTAAATCGTTATTAAAATACCTCTTTGGAAGTGTTTACCTGAAGGCTATAGAAAAAAGTGGGATATCTTCTCAATTCCAAAGAAATTCAATTTAATAAAGTTGATTTTAAGCTCTAGTATGCCTCAACTCTATTTTCTTCATGGTTGTTGCAAATGGAAGGAATGAATGTCTCTGCTGGAAGTCAGATCTGTGGTGTCAAAAGTCAGTATTGGGATTCCTGTCATTACAACTGTGAGAAGAAATCTTGGGTTATCTGCACAGTCAGACTATAAAAGCAATAATACAGAGATTCTCTAGGAAGGGAAAATGAGATCAAAGGGCAAATGGATTCTTAATATTCTAATGAAGGTACTTTCTGTTCCTTTATGATGCTAGATACTATGCTTTTCTTCCTACCTGGGATAGTTCTCATTAGAAATTGGAGTAGATGATGAGCTTACCTCTTCAGGTCTGTTCTAACAACATTCACTTCATGAGACCAATTTTTTTACCTTGCTCCTCTGCCTGCACCCTTATTGCTTCTTATCACTTTTTTTTAATTTCCATGAAATATTTATCTCCTAGTAATAAGATAGATGATTCAATTGCACTTTTTTGGGTTTCTGTCCCTGTATGTATTGATGTGCATACATAAGGGCAGATGTGCACTAAAAATCTGTGTGATGAATGAGTAGCACTGTCCTCCCATTGTTCATCGATTTGCTTGAGTAGGCCCCAGTAACGTCTCCATTTTAAGACTTGTTACTGTGTTTGGCATATAGAATGTGTCTCGGGTAGCTTACAAGGCTTTGCTGTGTGGGCAGGACACTCTCGGTAGCTGGATGAGCTCTCCGAGAGGTGCAGAGGAATCGAACCCAGGTCAGCACACAATAAAATATAGCACTGTAGCACTGTCCTCCTGTTGTTCATTGATTTGCTCAAGCAGGCACCAGTAACATCTTCATTGTGAGACTTGTTGCTACTGTTTTTGGCATATAGAATATGCCATGGGGAACTTGCCAGGCTCTGCCATGTGGGCAAGATACTCTCAGTAGCTTACCAGGCTCTCTGTTAGAGGTGGAGGAATCACACCCAGGTTGGCTATGTGCAAGGCAAACATCCTACCTGCTGTGCTACCGCTCCAGCCCACAATAAAAAATATACACGTAAAATACATATGTAAAATAAAAACTTCTTTACATTTACACTATGTTTACATTTTATGTAATATAGTTTATAAAGGCTAGCACAGAAGTTTGAAAATGAAATAACTAGAATGATCAGTTGTAGCAGAATCCAAGGAAGGAGATATATATTTTAAAACATGGTTATTCTGTGAACTGTCAAATTACAAATCACTTAATCACTTAATCACTTAACTTCCCGTTAGTCGTCGATTTGCTCGAGCGGGCGCCAGTAACGTCTCCATTTGTCCCTGTCGCGTGCTAGTGTAGCCCAATGGCATCTGTTCGCTCCGGGAACATGAAGGGCCTCAGACCGATCGTTCATGATCTTGACGAAGAAATCTGACCATCTGGTAGGTGGGCGGCCACGTGATCTTTTGACATCCCGTGGAATCCAGTCAGTAACAGCTCTGGTCCAACGGTCATCTTTAAATCTCATTACGTGACCAGCCCATCTGATTTTCGACACCTTGGCAAATGAGACAGCGTCCCTGATCCTTGATCGTCGACGGATGTCAGAACTCCGGATTCTTTCTCTCATTTGAGTGAAACGTGATATTCCAAGCATAGCTCTTTCTATTCTTCTTTGGGAGACCTGAATGGCGTTCTCATCTTGTTTGCGTAGGGCCCAGGTCTCTGAGGCATATGTTAATGCAGGAAGAACAGTGGAATCAAAGAGATGTGCTCGGAGCCGGAGGTTCTTCATCCTCTTAGCTATTTCTTCGACGTTCTTGAAGGCGTTCCAAGCTGCTCTCTTCCTCCTGCACAGCTCGGGTGCCAGGTCATTTGTCATGTTGACCTCTCGACCTAGGTACACATAGCTGTTGCATTCGGAGATGGTCGTTCCATTGAGAGCGAATGGGGCGTCAGGAACAAGGCTGTTTCTCATAAACATTGTCTTCGTAAGATTCAGCTGTAGTCCTACCTTTCCACACTCATGGTCAAAGTCGGCCAGCATTTGTGCCGCTTGGCTGATGTTTGGTGTTATTAAAACAATGTCATCAGCAAAGCGGAGGTGGTGTAGCTGCCAACCATCTATCTTCACTCCCATTCCTTCCCATTCCAGTCGTCGCATGATGTTCTCGAGGGTGGCACTGAAGAGTTTCGGTGAAATGGTATCACCCTGCCGCACCCCTCTCTTGACATCAACAATCACTTCTTTGTAGAATGGTGAGATCCTGGTAGTGAATCCGCAATACAGCTCACGGAGGATCCTGATGTATTGGGCTTGAATGCCCTGATTGGCTAGGGCTTCAATGACCGCTTCCGTCTCTTTTTTTTTTTCGATATGCCAAAACCAGTAACTACTGGTCAAATTACAAATGTTGAAAAATATTAAAAAAATTGTCAGCTTTTACCTTGCTTCTTTCATTTTCATAGTTTTACATCTGCCTGTAACATAATTATATACATGCATATATGTACTATGTCACATGCATGTATTATCTTCTGTGTACAAGTGTTTCCTTCGTAATCCTCTGTATTATGTAAAAGCTCTAAAATATTATGTTAACCAAATATTGCTTTTATTATTAGAAAAAAATTCAAGAGTTATTTTTCCATAGGGGTTAAAAAAATGACATTAAAAAAAGTAGGGGTCAGTAAAAAAAATGCCAATACAAACCACACTAAGAGGGCAGGGGAGGAGTGAGAGAAGAGAGAGAGAGAGGGGTAAGGGAGGGAGAAAAGGAAAGAGGGAAGACAATGAATAGAAGTAAAGGAATGCATTATTAATAATTCAGTAGATTCTTAATGAGTATTAAATATGTACCAGATTCTATTGATAGTACTAGAGGTAGATACTTTGTGCTTCCTTTCATGCAGAAATCTTTTCAAGGAAGAGATAAAGCTAATGTATAATTTATTATGAAGGTAGTCAATAAAGATGAAGCCCTTCGAATGAGTATGAGACCAAATATCATAGCATCTGAACATTCCAAGTTCAGCTAAAAAATTCATCTAAAATTCAGTTCTGACTGGGCAGTGACAGGGCCTAAGAGGCTTAAGTAAAGCTTATTGTTTTCAAAAATTGTTTGAATAACCTTGTCTGTTCACCTAATATGATTTTCTCACTCTATTTCTCATTTTTTTTAAGTTCAAATTGTGACCATATTCTTTCGTGACCTCATATTCTTCCCAATTAAAGGGGCATCATTTTATTGAGTGAGATAGTTAAATGTATTTATGAATTACTATTAAAATGAGGAAAATTGACTTTACAATTACTAATTCAATATACAAGTAGAGGAAAGATAAGATTAGAATTAAAGCATCAGTTATGTTTCTACAATAAATTTATCAATAATTATTGATCAACCAAACTCTGTCAAATGTAACATAAAAATAGTTGTAAAATTTATCTGACATGAAAGGTCTTCACTCCTTTCCTCATAAGAATAAAATTCAGATATTCCCTGAACAGCAACAAGAAACAGGGGTAAGGAACAAAAATATGCTGTTGACTATATTTTTCCTCCTAGGCACTTTGTGCCTCATTATAGCCCTTACTTCCCAGGAAGGAAGGCCAGAAAAGCGACAATTATCTGCATCGTAGGGACAACCACTGGTAAACCTCCTGGATTGCCTTTGCTTATGATCAGGAGAAGGTCAAACACGGAGAGAGAGTGAGTTCTCAGGGCCAGTTCCTCTTTGACAATTCTCTCACTCGATATATTTTTTTTTACAAATATCAAACTAGCTTCCCTAACAAAATGCAGAAGAAAATATCTAAGTGTACAATTATGCAGCTAATATGCTAGCTGGAACTTTTCTCTGTAGGTTGTGGGGAAAAAAAAGAAGATTCTCATGTTTATGTCAGTATTTTATAACATTAAAGAATGAGAGAACAAAATGTGCAATCCTGCTATTTTTGATATTTGGGTCAGCTCAAAGCCAAAAGGATACAGAATTTTTTTCTCTCATTTTTTTGAAAACTCTCTCTAGCATTTTTATTTTTATAGCGAGGCAAAGTAAGGGGGGGTGGTCAAAGCTATCATTTCTGTTGAGAACATGCAGAAGTCTGTTGAATCCAGTAATTGGTTCTTTAAACTACTTCTTCTAGTCAGACATCCAATATTCTTCATAATAACAGATTAATCTTGATAAATCACCAAACATTTATTTAATTCTCAAAATCATAATTTTTAAAGGCACAATTCTATAGAATAACTATAGCTCTAATAATCTCATAATCTTTTAACAGCTGTTCTTTCATTTTTAAGCTTTTCTCTGCTCTATAATGAAGACGGGGAGGAATCAGTAAGTAAATGTGATTCCTTATATGCCACATGGGCATTTCCTTATTTCATTGAAACTCTGATGGGCTCAATTACTATATTTTATCTTACAAATAAATAATGACATATACCTTTGCAGCTAACACTCAAGCCAATGGTTACTCTGCCTCAGTTTGGCACTTTCTGTGGATCTGACTCTGGTTTGTGATTCCCTCCAGCTGCCTGTGAAGCAGCTGTGCCTTTCTCTTTCCACTGAGCAATTTCCAGGGACCCATATTTAAAGGAGAGTGAAATGCTGTCTCTAATTAGAACAGCAATCTGTTCTGCAGCACTTTTCACACTCTATTTACATTCCCTACTTTGTTTTTCCAACAGCTCCACCCTTCTTTTTCTCTAATTTTGATTTTAAACTTATTGAACTGCTGGCTAACAATCACATTCCAAACTACGATCCTTTTAGTACTTCTTTGAAATACAGATAATCATTTGCATTCTATTTAGGATCAAGTTTGAGTTATTTTTCCAAATCTGAAGAGTAAAGGAGGGGTGCTTTTGGAGTATTACTGAGTATAGTTATTGCCCGTGACTTCTGTATCTTCTGCCATCCTGCTGCCTTTGGAAGCTAAGGAGGTGAAGTTGAATGAAGAAAAACTCCAGTCAACTCTGTGAGGCCCTCTTGTGTGTTTCTCAAATCTTCCATGCGATGACTTTTTCAAAGACAACGAAAACACAAAATTAAAGTTAACACACAGCTACTTTATTTTTCATGTGTGGAAAATAAAGCTTTACAAACGTATATGTGCTTAATTTCTGAAAGACAACATAGTGATATAATTTCTTCTCTTTAATTTGGGGGGGGGGTGTATGTGTGTTTGAGCCACACCTACAGCTAATAAGGTATTGTCTCTGGCTGTAGGCTCCAGAGTGACTCCTGGAAGTATTCAGTAGACCCTAGTCATGATAGGAGTAAATCGGGGTCAGTCACCATCTGGTGGGACATTGAAGGACACAACTGCAGGAATGGGGTGTTGTGGTGGGCAACTAGAGGTGAGGATGGAGCTCATGAGACTTGGCCTGAATGGAGCCAGACATTAGCTGCCCCTCCCCCATAGCTTCCCCTTCTGATTCCTGGCAGTGGCCACTCCCACCTCTGGCAACCAGTTGTAACATCCAATCACCTGGGTGGTGCCAGGGGACAACTGAGCAAACAGCAAACAAACAGTGCCCCAAGCAAGAAGGAATGGCAAATGCAACATTCTACTAAGTCTTTGTGCAAGTGTGAGCTGGATAACCCCAGGAAAAGTTTGTTCACTCTATCTTGAGATATATAAACCTGACCCTGCTTGCAGTAAAATGAGTCTTCTCCATAAAGAGGCTCCTGGCATCTATGTCTTTTCTTGAAGTTCCACATACTCACTCTCCCTCATAGGGCTGTGCTCCTCCACTACCATGAGCAACTGGCTGAGTGAGGTTAGCTGCAACAATGGCTCCGGGGCTGGTCCTGTGACCCCAGCGTGTCAGAGTGACAACCATCAAACTGGCCACATGCAAAACGAGTGCCTTCCATACTGCCAATATCTCTGTGCCAATATACTGAAACAATTTTTGATTATTTTCAGTGGTGTGTGAACCTGGCTCTTAATTTAATGAGATACCTTATTATAGGACAGAGAAAAAAAACATATAAGTACTCTCTGAACACGATATTAAACAACTTTAGTTTCATATTAAAAGTCTGATGCAGTTAACATTTTATGCTAATACCATTTTCATGAATGCTCCAAATATAATGCTTTATCATCTCTCATTGTTTTGTTGTCAACCAGATTTTTATTTTAAAGAAATTAAGTGAATAATAGTTCTTAAATTATTGTCCTTTATATATTTTAGTATTAAATAATAAAAGAAATCAAATATGTTTTGCTTTCTAAGTATTCAGCTCAATTACCTTATCACTCTAATTTTTCTGATGTTTATTGGAAAACATTCATTTTCTACAAGCAAGTCAACGTATTTGGTCAATTTAAAAGAACCATGCCTTCAGTGACAAATTTCTTATTGGGTATGTAAAAGAAGAACAGTTTAATATTTCTTAGAGTATTTTGTAGAGATTGTATTGCTTATTGAAGTTTTATATTTTGTTCTAAAACAGTATTTACCTAGAGATAATCTTCACTGTAAAACCTCTTAAGTTTTAAATATTAATTTTTAACCTTACTCCCTGCCTCAAATTTAGAATTTGAGTAACTCTAAATCATATTTGAATTTTACAGTTTTGGGTGCCATAGTCATGTTAATTTAGACTAAAAAGCGTTAAGAATAAACACAGTCAATAAATTCAACTTTGTATTTACAAACCTATTTAGATTACTTTTTGTTTCTGCTTTTGTTTTCTTTGAAGCCACACCTGGCAAAGCTCAGGGCTTACTCCTGGATCTGCACTCTGGGATCACTCCTGGTAGTCTCAGAGGACAATATGTGGTACAGGGGATAGAACCTGTGTATGCTGCATGAAAACAAATAGTCATCCACTGCACTGTCTCTGTA